GTTCACCTCAGCCACGTATTTCAGTGGAACCCTGACTTAGCAGGTCATGATGAGATACCAGCTCCAAACCAATCGTAACACATCCAGTGCATTCTGAATTGATTCACTTTCAGAACCATGTTGTGAACTTGTGGGTTGGACTGCACCTTTCTAGGGTGCTTTTCCAAATCTTTGGAATCTTTCTTGTTGTTTTTTGGATTTTTTTTTTTTGTTGTTGTTATTTTTAAAGATGTTTCCAGAATTCTGTTAAAATTCCTTGTGCGAGTTTTCTGCAAGAGAGAGTCTGAGAACAGACCAAGCAGGCAAAAAAAATAGGCCATCCCTTAAAGAAAAGTCAGACGAGGAACTCATGAGATATGCATGCTTCATCAATATTCACAAACAGTTTCTGTAGAATGTAAACTCTACAAAAGACAGCGTTTTCTTAGCTTTTAGGAAACATTTTTGTCTGAATGAGCAACTGTCAAGTGGCACAGTTGAAAAGATTTCTGCTGCAGAGAGATGAAACTGCAGCTCTTCAAACAGCATAGCTTATCTAGCGAAGCAAGCTGACACATAGTTGTCTTGGGGGTGTCCAAACCCAGGAAGGTGCCTACAGAGCTTCTTTGCAAATGGGTTTGATAGTCTGGCATTCTCTTGGGCAACACAGTTTTTCCCTGTATATCAGGAATGTGGGAATTGTCGTTCTGACAACTTGAAGAGTAAAGAACCCAAGAGGTTAACCTGAAGAAATAACATAAAATATTCTGCCATTAAAAAAAATAAAAGAAGCCTAGGCATGTTTTAATGCTGTGGTATTACTTCTTTGTTTTGCTTTCAAAACCAATTTTTTTTTGCCTGGCATTATGTCTGTTTTACAGACTCTTTTTTATATTTTTGTGGAGACTTCCCCTTACACAATAGCTTCCTCTTGCCACCTTGTCTGGGTGAAGAGACACTGCCCTTTTTCTCCAGTGCATTGATAAACATTAACATTTGATGCCCGATTCTGACAAAGGGCTGTCCATTGCAAGGAGATCAGGGTTAAGCTGATGGAGGTTGGGGAAGGGCTTCTGAGATAAGCAAATTGCTGTTTTGATGGGGAGCTGGAAATTGCAGATTACATGAGGTGTTGCCCAGCCAGTCCTGTTTCTTCAGCTTCACTTCCATGTTATGAAGAAAAAGAAACCTAATGGTGAGAAAAATGAGAGAGAAGGAAAGAACACTTTCAGCATAGCTGCTGTTCTTAGGTTTCCTCTTAATTTCAGTGCATTTGATTATAATGAGCAAAATTCTGGAGAACTCTGGAGATCTCTAGTTACGTACAATCACTGGAGCAATTCATCAGTTGCAGACAAAACCCAGAATAGAAGCAGAGCATCTAGAATATGCACTGTCTTCCATACTGTGGTTTGTCAGAAGTATTTACTGAAATATTAGAATTATTTACTGAAATGGCCTGCTGCCAGTGAGACACCAGTGGGTCATCTCAGTCTTTTGGGGGGCTTAGTACTGTGAAGTAAGTACTAAATTCTTAGTACTTATGGGAATAAGAAGGTAAGAAGGTATAAGCAAAAGTATGAAAGGCATCTTTTGCAGTTGTTTTCTTTGCTTCTGAGCCAAAGTACTGTTTTTCTTGGATAATGTGGGATTCTTGTGTCACCCAAGAGCTCTGAAGAACATGCTGATAGAAGCCTAAATCAGGGCTTTCCAAAATATTTTGTGAATTTGAGATCTTTCATTGTGTGAAACTTCTCACTGTCCAGGGAATCCTATCAGGGCCATGTGTCCTGAACAGCAACCAAAACTTATTTCCTCTTCCAGGAAGGCTGCGGTGGGTGCAGGAGGTATCGATGTCTGTGAATAGTGAATAGTTCATGCAGCTTCTGCACATGGCTTCTCCAGTGCTGTGTGGTTGTGGGCTAGGTTCTCTTGGATACAACTTTTGACTGCTGCAATGCTCCCATGCTCAGCATGTTTTGGCTCCTGCTTACGAAGAAATGCGCCCATCGTTCTGGGATGGAGCTGTGAAAGATCTGGCTGACTTGGCACAGTCATTTCCTCTCTCCCTTAATTGAAATCTGGAGAGCGCTGCTGATCAGTAGCAGTAAACTTTCTTAAAACTTTTTTTTCCTTGAATTTCTCCAGCCGGGTTTGCCCTTATTGAAATTCAGATTTGACTTTTGGTTTCCCACCCTTGTTCTATGTGAATAGGACATAAATAGTGACGTGTCAAGACTCCATCTGCTGTAATCGACAGGGAAGGCCCAGCCTGATTTCTGCCTTCCCCAGGTCTCACGGTTTGATGTTATAGATCTTTAACATATAAGAACTGGTACTCCTGTGCCAACCAGGATTCAGGTACATTGCTATAACAGACTCTGAGACTAGTTGTTCGCAAGTTCCCATGCACTCCAACAGGCAGGATTAAGGCTTTTTTTTTTCCTGCTTCAGGGCTTTCCTAAAAGTGGACTCGTCTTGAACCAGGTTTTATGAACTGAGAATGTTTTATTCTTTGGTCATTCTATGATGCAAGTAATAAAATAGGCACTGTAGCTCTGGTCCTTGTGTTTGCAGATGAACCAAAGCAGGAATAGCCACAGAAGCTTTTCTTCTTCCCTTACCAAGAACAGCTGGGAAGGGGTAGACGAGGAGCAACATTTGGCTGCTGTGATTAGCTGGATTCACAGTCAAGGACAGAAATGACTTTCTTTGTGATAGAACTACCCCGAAACATGTTCTATAAAAAGAAGTTCTATAAAATCATTGATCTTGATATAAAATTTCTTCCATGATACACCGTCCCTAGAGCTGTTAACCTAACATCTTTTTGTTACAATAGGTGTGTTCTTTCTGACAAATTACTGATTTATTGATTCAAAAGCTCTTGAGTATGCTAAAGTAGCTTGTTAGACTTGAGAGGTACATATGCCAACTTTGGTAATTCTGTGTATCTTTATTCTTGGCTCTGCTTGTTAGCTGGTTCCTTCTCTGGGAACAAGGAGCTTCATGCTCTGTTGATGGAGTGACTGTTGGGGCAGTGTGATGCTGCAATGGGTGCTACACCTCCAGCCATGAAAATCCAACTGAAAAATACTGGTTTTCATGTGCCACTCCCAAACTTCCCATTTAAGACTGTTTTTCCTTTGTCAGGATGCTAGTTCTTCCTTGCTGCTTACAGAGAAACGATTTTGTTGCTGTTGGGGGATGATTCATTAGCATGTGGTTTGCACTCGCAGGAAGCCGCATTCCTGATGCTCGTTTTACCAAAGCGAAATGCCAACATCTTCCCTGGGCGAGCGCGCCAAAGGTGCCCTCCTGCTGGGGGGCTGCTAGGGGAGAGCGAAGGTGTCAACCCGTAACACCCCATCGGAGGCTGACGGCTGGAGCGGCCTTTTGTCACCCGCACAGCAGGGCAGCCCTGCGCACGAGGCCGTGGTTTTCCAGGAGCCCCATCTCAAGGAGGGTGACGCAGCGGATCTCATGCAGCGCGGAGCTGATGCTCCAGTTCTTTGAGAAGTAGGATTATTCAGACTTTGAAATCACTCTTCTTATTGGGATTTTCTAGTAGCCAGTAAAGCTGGCAAATTGGAAAGCAGGGGTAGGTAAGAGCCAGTTAAAAATGCTAAGTGCATCGTGCAACTTCCCCCTGAGCAAATCTGCTCACGGGCTGCTCCTGCTCTTCTCCCCACTCTTACAGGAGCATTTGGCCACCCGAGCAGCCCGGCAGCGTTGGGCTGGTTTAGCTCCCTGGCTGACAAATGCCAGCGCAGCGCTGGCCTGGGATCACATGGCAGGAATAGGTCAGCTGTGTTGTGAAACTGCACCTCTTGGGAGAGGTTTGGAGAGGTAATGAATGCGCTGCCAGCGTGTGAGCAGAGCCCTCCGCTCTGCAGAAGCAGCAGCCGTCGCCTGGTTTTTCTTAAGGGGTTATGCTGAGTGTCTGTACCCGTCAGTACCCTGGAATCCATGATTCCCTGCTGCAGCAAGACTGCTTATTTCTTCAGCTGGTGTTTTGGACTGACAGCTTGTCTGGGAAAAAAAAATAAAAAGAAGCTTTTGTTGCCCCTGAGGTGGAAGAAGTTGCATATTCTGCATGGGTAGTAAAGAGAGCCAGATGCTCTGGTGATGGTTTCTCTCTCGGTGGTAAAATAGAGCCCTTGATGTTGGCTCTGCTTGACCTGCACGAGCCTGACCAAAGGCGTAACAGCGAGTGACAGGCTGAAGGTCCGGCCGTGCATCCAGTGGCTGCGAGCTGTTCTGCACTAACAGAGCGGTCTGTTTTCTTCTGAAACAAATCAGCGCATGGAAGTAAAGCAGAACTTGTTGGCCCATACCCTTGTAACATGACTTTAAACATCTCGTTGCACTATTCTAGAGAGCGCTCAAATGCTTGGTCCCTGCTAGCTAGAGCATGCTGGAGCTTGCCAGGAGTCCCTGTAGTGCAAGCAGATCTGCATAGAAACAGTCCTTGTCAGAGCAGTTTTCCCTCTTCCTGTTCCATTCCAATGTAGAACTTTCCTCTCTACACAAAGGCTTGGGAAGATGTTCCCCTTCTGCCCCAACCTTTGCTGTCGCAGCATGTCTGCGCTTGCAGCTTGTCACTGCTTCTCCAGCTAAGTAAGTGGTATCTGCCCTTGTGTAACCTGCTTGTTGGCACTTAGCAAGGACCTTGAGCTCACCTGGCAACCCTGATCAGGACTGGAAGCTGGGCATCCATTAGTGATTAATCCTGTGACTCTCTGGTTTCGTCTTCTCTGGGCTGTGGTGACTAGATTGCTAAGAGCACAGGAGGTTGTTTGGGTACGTACATTCTTCATTACAACATATAATCTGTACTGCAGATACACCTTACTGACAAAACAGTATTATGTCTAATAGTTTGATGGGAATTGACTATTCCTGGACTGTTCTTGTTTGTACAATGTATTAGTCTTTTTAAAAAGTTGTAGTCCTAACCAGAGATTGGCCCTAAAAATATGCCAAACTTGACTTTTGTTTTGTTTTGTTTTTCCACCCAGGTATCGCATGCTGTTGCTAAGCTTGTATTAGTTAGTTTTCACTGGCAAATCTCAGAGATTTTGGAAAGGTAAGTACAAGTAGTCTTTGACTCTCTGTGCTTCATGGTTTTCCTCCACTTTTTTTGCAAGAATGCTCAGAGTATCCTATGGCTGTCCTTAGACACATGTCTTTGGACCTGAAATTAGGCTACACAGTCCATTCTGGGGAACGGAGGAGAAACACTATTTTATTGAGACTGTGCTGCCTATAAAGAAGTGTTAACAAGGAGGTGGTAGTGGTGGCAGATGCCTTTCAATTTGAGGAATTATCATCATGCTGGGAACCCTGTAGATGCATTTAGCCTAAACATTGGGATAACAGATTAAGAGCTGCATCTATAATTATTTACTTAAGCAAACATAAAGAGAACATATGTTCCATTTTGAATCTATTTCTAGTAAAAGTTCTGCTATTGAGAAAAAGCTGAACCATAAATCATAAAGCAATACTAAACTCATGCTGATGTACAAGCTAGTAATAAATTCCTGATGATGCTTTTGCTCTTTTTGGGCATAAGAGGTGTCTCTTTTTTTTCCCAATCTGCCTAGAATTTGGAGAGCAGCAGGAGATGATGTGAGGGAGCTGGAAAATGGTGCTGCAGCTCATTTGTCCTTCGGTTAGTGCTGAACTGCAGTGAAATCCTGCAGCTGACTTCAGGAGGAGGGTTCGGACTTTGCCCAAGTGTGTGCAGGAAGTGTGTCAGGAGGCACTGCTGCCTGGCAGCCCCTCCAGAACATACTGGCTCGGAGCTGAACATTGTCTGAAAATAGAGAGTGCATCAGTCTGACTCTCTGCCATGCCAATTTTGGCCCTGTTAACCAGCAACTTTGTTCAGATGGCATTTGGGAAATGTTTTTTGTATGCATGTTGTTGCAGCACCTCTGCTAACTAGCATGTTGTGTGCTGCTTGGTTATCATGCTTCCTGCGACAGCCCTTCTCTAGGGAGTGTAGAGGGTGAGGTTCATTCGTAGCAGCTCCGAGCAATTCTGGGTGACTAATCAGATTTAAACAAGTAGAAGTTTGAGGAATGGTTTATTCCTAAAGCTCTGACTTTCCAAGTTGTTCTTCAATAGATCTAGTCCTCAAACTTCCGTCTTCCTGCTCTTGTGTTTGTTGTAGAGTGACAGTCTGAAATAATCCCCAATACAACAAAAAAAGTGCTAGTGGGGATGGAGGCTTTACAAACTAGTCACAACAGAGGTTCTGCTCTCTCTTGTGGGAGTTCATCGGTGAGTTTTTACCAGAGATATAAGCATTCTGCTGCAATGAAAACCTCAAGCATTGGGGCACATTTAATTCTTGTGCTGCTGATAGACAGCTTCGTATTCCTAAAGGAATGTTTGCCTTGTCCCAAGGCAAATGTTAATGGGATATTAGACTGTAGTCAGTGTGTGACCGAACTAGGAAATCTTAGTTTTTCCAATGCAGACAGACAGTAGCCTCACTGGAGTGTGTTATCATGGGCTCAGGACTGATCTAGGAGTAAAAGTGTTAATGATGGGTAGCAATCTTATCTTCAAAAGTTATTTTTCTGGCTAAAAAACGGAGGGGGGAAGATTTTTAGAGAAATGCTGATCAAGGATAATAAGGGCGATGTTAGTCTGTTACTGGGTAAAGTGTTATCTCTGTTTCTGATTTTGAAGAAACTATCAGAAAGGTTATTTTGATGATAGTTCAGCTTGCTCCATGAGCGAACTCACATAGGACACACACGTGTTTGCTCTCCTTGTTGAGGCCTTCACAGCCATTCACGCAGAGCCTATTATTTATTCAAGTGAGAAGGATCAATTCAACAAAGCAAGAAGCATCAGAAATTGATTTGATGATTCCTCAATTGCCCTTTCAGGCACAAGTCTAATGCTGCCCAGTTGCTAGTAGAAGCACGAGTTCAGCCCACCTCATCCAAACACGTAAGTATGCAAACTATTTTGGTCTGTCCCTTGGCAGAGACACCTTTGATCCATCTCATTCGAGGATTGCATTACTAATGGCGCAGTCTGTCCCACATTAACCTTTTGCAGACTCAAGACCTTGCATCCCAACTCACTGTTTCAGCTTTTTCAATGAGAGCACATTCAAGAGGTATCTAACATAATGGCTTTGCTATTGTCTTACAGTTAATGTGCAAGAATTGCTTGCCCTCTAAGAGAGTTTAAATATTGTAGAGCCTCAAGAAAATTAAGATCATTTTTTGGCATGAGTGATGCTACAAAATGGAAAGAGCTGAGCATGTGGGCCTGGATACTTCTTCCGAATTCACTCTCTTTTAAGAGGCGCTCTAGGGAAGTTCTGACTGCACAGACTGAACAAACTTGTTTGTGACTGAAACAGATTTTTTTTTTCCTGGCTTTAAGTAATGTCCCTGCTGAGCCAGACAGTTTTGATATTTGAACCAAAAACTTGTGTTTTGCAGCCAGGGCTATGCAGGTCTTTGGATACTTTTTTTTCATTTAAATAGAAGTTTGCTATTGCTTGTTTACAACAGAACTTGCTCACAGCAGGTGTATCAGTCTTCTCAACAGTTACCCCGGAGGAGATTGCCTTGTGTCAGATTTTGAATGATAAAATATTACACCAAAGAAGGAATCTTCGGGGTAGGAGGCAGAAGAAAGGTGGGGGGGAGGGGAAATGGAAGAGAGGCTTAAAAAAGCCTAAAAGGCCTCTTTGGCATCTGAGCTGACTTATCACTAGCAGAGAGTGAAAGCAGTTAAACAGCTGGCAGGAGTAAGCTTTAAGGACTCAACCTGTAATCTGCCTAGATTCCCAGAAAAGATCTTTGCTATCTGACACATCTGCAAATGAGTCCTGTTCACACTCTTTTTGAGTTTTGTCTGGTTCTTTTATCTGCTGTCACTTAAGTATCCTCTGTTGCAATAGTGACTCCATAAGAAGAAAAGATCTTGAAGTTCAGATTTGATTTAAGATTTGACAAATGTGGTTTGGTGGAAAATTAATTTCAGGCTTTCTGTACGATCTCTTAAGACAAGTTGCTGAGAGCTTCAGCTCCTAATGCAGAATGACGATTTTTGAGGGGCACTTTAGGGCAGATTTTCGTACTGAATAATTGTACAGCAGCTAAATCTGCAGGCAGAAGCCATAGTGATGAGCCCAGAGGGACAGAGTACAAAGTGTTTGCTGTTCACGTTGAGCAGTTGATCTGCACAATCACCTAGTCATTGCTGACTTGATGAATCTTGTTCTGGTCCATAAGTGATGCTGCTTAGAACAAAGTTGCTTTCTTTCCTTTCTTCATGCAGTCATGTTATAAAACGTGCTGTGCTGGTCACGGGGCTCTTGTGCTGCTGCTGCTGTCTGAGCATCTCTGGCACATAGTGATACGCATGGAGGCTGAGGGCTGTCTCACACAGGCCTCCCAAAGGGTGGCAGAAGTTTAAACAGATGAAAAAAGATTATGTGGCTTCTCTGTGCTCCAGCTTCTCTCCTGCTTGCAACTTTGTAGAGCCTTGTCTTTGATGCTCTGCTAGACCTAGTTCCTCATCTCCCAAGGGTGGGCAAGGATGTGTTAAGGACCAGCTCTGTGACCTAGTGATGAGTTACTAGCGAAGGGGAGATTCAGACCAGTGCAATGGAGTGTTTCCTTATTCTTCAAACTGAGAATTAGTATGTATGAGAAAAGCAAATCTGAGTTCTGGGTAGTGCCAGACTGAGGCAGGAGCTGTGCGGTGGCTGTGAATCTGTTGTGCTTTATGAGGTGAAAGAGGCTCTTGAGAAGGACCGACCGCCGGGGCGGTGTAGTACCCCAACACACCACTTGCTTGCGAGGCTGTTCTGCCCTGGACCTCACCTGAGACATTGACACAAGGTGATGGTGGTTGTGAGGGGGGTGAGAATGAACTGCTTTTTCGTTGTAAACTGAGTTGTGTCTCTCCTAGGCAATGGTACATTCCTCTCATCACTGCGCAGTGTGCATGCAGTTTGTCCGGAAGGAGAACTTGCTCTCTCTGGCTTGTCAGCACCAGTTCTGCCGCAGCTGTTGGGAGCAGCACTGCACAGTGCTCGTCAAGGACGGTGTCGGAGTTGGTGAGTTCAAGGAGGGTGTGGATCTGTGTTCAGTGTGTTGACCTTGGTGAAGATGAGGGGCTGAATCACCGTAAGAGCATCACAATAATGAGAAAATGGAGGATGGAATAAGTCTTTGTGGCAAACTACTTCTATCCTTAACAGCTTCAACTAGTTGTGTGACATGAATAGTGGCACACTGTCTGTAGAGTGTTATTCTTGCCTAACAGAATCTGCAAGTCCATAGATCTATTTGATGCTCTTTCTCCCCTTTGTGATTTCAAGGGCATGACTGTAACAAACTGCAAGTTACCAATCTTCTGTATTTTGAATTTGCATCTCTCATGATGTCTTTGGAGTGTTTGTGGATGCAAACATCCGTTTCCTTTTTGTTGAGTAGAAGCCAATAGTTGCCAGAGTTGTCGTATCCTGTCCTTCGTACTGGCTTGACAGTAACCTGCAGCTTTCTACTTTAAGTGTCTGACCTTGTGAATACTGAGTGAGGCACTTACTGGTCTTGGATGCACTTGTGCCCTGTCATCTTTCAGTGAATACAGTTAGGCTTCAGCTTTTCAGCAGCCCTGATAGATTTATTTCACAGTTGTGCCCCTCTTGACACAACAACAGATGGCACCTAGGAAACTGTGTTGGGTGCTCTCTGTGCGTACGCTCCCTGGTACATGCTGCACTGTGCTAAAACGTTGCTTTATCTTTGCAGGGGTCTCCTGCATGGCTCAGGACTGCCTGCTTCGGACGCCAGAAGACTTTGTGTTTCCATTGCTGCCTAGCGAGGAACTGAAAGACAAATACAGACGCTACCTCTTCAGGGACTATGTGGAGGTACTGACTCTTAAACCACCCTGAGTCAATTATAATCACCAATGACTTGCAGAAATTTTGTTTGAAGCATCTTGCATCTCTGATTAGAAATGCAGTAACTGCAGCAAATTTGTCTCTGATAAACATGATGTAGCTGCTGCTATAGGACAGGGCTCACTGACAAAATACTCTAGCAGGTTGCCAAAGTAGATTCTGCTCTAAGGTCACCCAGGAACTTCTTAGCTGCTGCTTGGCTTCTGTCCTGAAGCAGTTTCTGAATATTGCAGCTGAGAACTTAAAACTTCAATCTGAATTTTAAGGTTTTCCTTGTTCTCCCGTAGATATTTTAGGTTTTGAAAAAATAAGTGCTTCATCACAGTGCAGTGCAGCTATATTGGCTTGATTTGTAACATTTTGCATGAGTTTTATTGAAACTGAAGAAGAAATTATTAAGGCTGAATGTGTAGGAAGTATTTTGGTGAGTGGGAGCAGTGAAGAATGTTAAAGCAGCAGGGGCAGTGTGGAAAAGCAGTGTCACCTGTCTTCAATAAGAGAGTCTTTGGAAAGGAAGACTCCCCACAAGAGCAGATGAGTGCATTCAGGGACATAAGGCAAGGATGGGGAAGAGCTCAAATGTAATAAACATGTTTGTTCAAGAGTGTCTTGGTGAGGCTGTTGGATTGTGTTATTGTGGATATGAATTTTCTCCCTCTCCTGGAGAAGCTGTAAGTACCCAGTACTCCCTTTCCTAACGTGGAAGAGGTCTGTATGCTCTGTTAGACAGCATGTAGTGACAGTTTTCATGGTCTTTTTCAATAAGAAATACTGTCTTGTATGTTTTTGAGATAGGAGTGGTTAAACTTCTAGTTTATAAACTTTTAAAACTGGTTATGTTCCTTCTGAAAATACACTGCTAATCTTACCACCTTGCTGTGTTTGCAGAGCCATTATCAGCTGCAGCTGTGTCCTGGTGCAGATTGCCCTATGGTCATACAGGTACAGGAGCCGAAAGCCCGGCGAGTGCAGTGCAATCGTTGCAATGAGGTCTTCTGGTAAGAAGCAGAAAAGGTTAAAGATCATGGGGGAAGTGTGTGCTGTCCTCAGGGCTACTCCATCTGCTTGCCAACAGATTCAGGGTGTGGAAGTATCTCAAATGCATTGCTGGAGTTTTGTAACTTGAGTTATCTTGAGTAATTGGACACTCAGGATCTGACTTCTTCGGGTGACCAGCCCTCCCCCAGCTCCTTGTGCTACTTAGGAGGTGGGTGTTCTGACAACCCAGAAAGTCGTGACTTGAGTAAACCAGGAGTTACAAATCTTGCCTTCTCTTAATTTAATTAGGTTACAAATACTGGTAAAGAGATTCTGGTAGTAGATATGAAGGCCTCACAGTTATCAGTTGGTAGTTTTGAGATTTTTAGTTTATTACACCAGAGTGCCTGATGTGTTTTGAGGCTTGTGTAAGCCTCAAACATTTGCCTGTTGGATAGGAAGCTTAATGAACCTTGTCTGACTTGAAGCATATACAGGACTGAAAAGAAAAAAGAAAAAAAGAAGTTTGTAGTAAAAACAGGGCTGCTGGAATGTCTTCTACTCTTGGGTCTCTAGAATCACTGCTGCTGAAAATGTTTGGGGAGTTCAGTACAAGGAGGGCTAGAGCCCAGCTTCCTGGTGTCTCCATGCAGATAGCTGTCACTCACGAGGGACTGTTAGAATTATGCTGAGACAGGAGCATCATGCTGTATCCATCATCAGATTTAGTGCACTTGTAAAGCTCTTGTATATGCCAAGACTCCTGTAGTCACCTTAGAGCAGATATAGGTAGGAAGGTTAGAGAAGACTTCTGTAGGAAGGAATATTTTAGCCTTCAGGCTTATAGCTTTTGTCAGAGAAGGCTTCAATTCACTCTCATCCTGACATAGGTTTCTGTTTGAGAAGGTGGGCTTCAGTGGAGCACTAGCCATGCAAGCACTGCCTTGGTCTTTGCACTCTAGCACTCCACAAGTACATTTGTGTTCCTTGCCCCTCTTGGTATTTAAGATTTTGATCATCAGAAAAGATTTAATTCTTGAGTAGCATCCTTCAAAATTGACATCTCCCTTTTTTTTTTCTTTTTTTTTTCTTTTCCTATAAAGCTTCAAGTGTCGGCAGATGTACCACGCACCCACAGATTGTGCTACCATTCGGAAATGGCTCACCAAGTGTGCAGACGACTCCGAAACAGCCAACTACATCAGTGCTCACACTAAAGATGTAAGGAGAAGACCGCATGCTCTCTCTTGCCCTGGGAAGCAAGATACAATTCTATATGGACTTAGCGCTGTGTCCTGCTTTGCCAGACAGCGAATCCCTCCTTTAGGGACTGTGATATTACACAGCTGAACACCTTGAGAATACTTTGTGCAGGAAATCAGCTGCCCTTCTGGCCAGAGTGCCACAGGGATCCCTGAGGACTTGGCGGTCCTTATTGCAGACTGGTGCGGTGTGAAAATCATTGCCAGTCAGGTGTGCTGCCCTCCCCCGGGCTGAAGGCAGAATTGTGGCTGCCTCTAAACAGTGCAGAGACATATTTAAAGGGGGAAGAGGAGAGCAGAGCTATTATCAAATAATTCACTCGTGTTCTTTACATTTGGACGATTGTGTGGAGTTCTGTGAATTGGAAGGTGCAGGAGATTTTGCAAGGATGGCAAAAGGGGATGGCAGCTTCTGTGAATATGACATTAGGACACTTGTAGTAAATTTAGATTCGTAAAAAAGAAATAGTATTGTAGTTGTGCAAGAAATCGTATTGCAGTGGTATCTACCTGCAGAATTTGTAGCCCTTAATTAAGATTAGATATTCTTTTACAGATATAGCTTTTATTCTCTAGATTAGCTGTCTGCAGATTGGAATGTTAAATGTCATTTTGGAACTTTGTGGCCTGACTTAAAACAGTTCTTAACCAGCTGGCATTCGTTTTACCATGGCTAATGACAATTGTGACAGTGCTGATTAGCCACAAACTTAGGTTTTGTTAGAAGAGTGAATACTTAAATTAGAGATACTAAATTCCACTCCTTCTCCGGAGAAGGTGTCAACATGTTATGATAGGGCTGTTGCTGCTATGCTCTTTTGCAGCGGTGAGGTTCTCTTGCATGGAGGATTGTCCTGGCGTGCATTTTACTTGCCACTAAAATTTTTAAAAGCCATAAAACTTTCTTCTTTCTTGGTACTTTTGCAACCCCTCTAAAAAAAGTAACAGAACTTGACACACCAAGGCACCAATGGGCTCCTGATGGAGCAAGAAGTGTGTGGCTCTCACTGTGCTCAATCAGAATCTCTGCTAACTGTCCTCCGTTAGTGGCTGCTGAAGGCAAGATACAGAGCTGATTTATCTTGTAGTGTAAATAGCTGTGGAAGCTGAAGACGTTATATTTTTATGCCCGAGAAACTGCTAAATGGTAACTTGGTGAGACCTTTGATTTTACGTGTAGTAGGAACCAACAAGGAAATTATATTTTTTGAGCCAGTAATCCTGTGCTGCAATACACCATCCCAGGCTTTCAGCATCCCTTTTAAATGGAGCTGTCAGGAATTGGTGGGAGAGGGGTGTCTGCATGCTCATATTCTCACATACACATACATATATATAAAAAAAAAAAAGGGGGGCAAAGGGAGGGGACAAATAATCATGCCAGTGCTGCTGTTCTCCAAAAGGTTGCCGGAGAGGCTTGATCTAACAAATATCTCTGTTTTCCCAGTGTCCCAAGTGCAATATCTGTATTGAAAAGAATGGAGGCTGCAATCACATGGTGAGAAGCTCCCTGAATACTTCAGATCCTCCTTGTTCTTAGCAGAAATTTTTCCTTTCACTAACCAGTGCCTCCCTTCTCTTTCAGCAATGCTCCAAATGCAAGCATGGTAAGTAGAAGGATTTGGAAGCCGTTTTCTCACCACTTTTTAGTGACGATGTTCTTTTCTTTTTTTTATGATATAAAGAGCAATTGTGAATGTCGACTGAAATATCTTTTCCTCTAGTAAAAGGTGAACATGATACTAATTATAGACTTGTGTGTGATTGTTTTATGTTTTCCCACTGGCTGTGATCTCAGCTGGGTTCTGATTCAGTGCTGTTTTGACTCCCTCTCCCTGACAGGTCCATTGTATAAAGAAGTCTCCATCTCTGTCACAATGTTAATAACAGAAACCACCACAGAGGGAAATTAAATGCTTTACATATATATGGACTTGTCATCAGTTGAAAATACTGGCAGAACTGAACCATTTATTTCTGTTCACTGGTGGAAAGAATGAGCCCTAACTCAGATGAAACTGCAGAAGGATTTGTGAATTGTTTTGGTTAACATTATGTGTTTGACTCTTTCATCCACCCCTATGCAAGTAACACCTCACTGATTTTACTGGCAGAATTCATTTCTGTTGTCTTGGAGTGAGATGGCTTGTATTCAAGCCCTCTGTGTTAAATGTGCCACTAAGAAATATTCTAATCTCAGAACCTTACTTGGAAGACGTATAAAGTTTTCTGTCCTCTCTCATTTCCTTTGCTTTGGGGTTCGCAGCAGCATTGGACGTGATTTGATGGAGCCCTGTGGCAAGGGTGAGCAAGCAAGTGCCAAGATACCATGGTGACTGGCACTCAGAAGGCTGATGGACTCTGGAAATACCAGTTTCAGTCTCATTATGAGAGACACGAGTGATTCCTATTGTAACAATTTCATCTCCATCTTTTTTCCTTCCTAGCAGAATACTTCCCAGCCTTGAAATCAGGAAACTGCCATGCAGGTTTCACTGTTGTTTCACTCTCTCTCTTCCACTTTTTCACAGTTCAGTGGCTTCTGACTTGAAGTGTCATAAACCACTGATATCTAAAGTTATCAAGGTAGTTACTTTCTCCTTAGGAGAGAGGAGGGCAGACTTTCTTTTGCATGAATTTGTTCACTTTTGGATTGGATTGTTCATATTTAATTCAGCCAAAGATTCGTGTATGGCAGTATGCCAGTAGTGTGGAGGATGTAACTCGCAAGTAAGACTGCTGCCTGCCTCTTCTGTAATCTGGTGTGACAGCCTGTGCAGAGAGCAAGTACTGTTCTGCATACTGGTCCAAGCCTCTTGGGGAGCACAGAATGCAGCACTTCAGGGTTTATTTCCGTACTCGCACAGGAGGCTGTAAAGCAAAAACCTTCAAGCCGAACTGGTATTTTTGGCTCACCTGTTGCATTCTGTTATGCAAGATGTGACAAAATACTTGTTTCTCAGCTTAGCAGAAATATCTGAAAGCAGATGGGCTGTGTCTACTGAAGCTCTTCCTTCTTAGAGCTGTTTTTTTCCTTCCGTGTATCACCAAGTTTGTTTTGCTGTTTTCTGCAGACTTCTGCTGGATGTGTCTGGGAGACTGGAAGACTCACGGCAGCGAGTACTACGAATGCAGTCGGTACAAAGAGAATCCTGATATTGTAAACCAGAGTCAGCAAGCACAGGCCAGGGAGGCCCTTAAGAAGTACTTGTTCTATTTTGAGAGGGTAGGAGACATCTCTTTGGCCAGAGCTGCTGTAGCCTTTTAATGCTCCCTGCCTGGTGCAAAGGTCATTGCCAGCAATTTCCGTGCAAGAAACTGCCCAAAGAGAATCTGTGCAGAATTTTCAGGCCTTATTCTTTTTTTAACTCAAAATCTTCCCATGTGAGTCTAATCTAGCCAGTAATGTTCTCCACAAAGCCAATCATATTCATTCCCATGTTTCCTTAAGTTAGAGAAAATCAGTGCTACCCATGTGCCACTGTATTGTCTTCCTGCAAAATGAGTGCTGCTGTAGGAAAAAGATATAGATAGATATTATTCCAATCATTCCCTTTCAGCATCAGGAAACTTCAGAATTCCTTCTATTTTGTCTTTATAGAGGCCAAGAATTAAACTCTGCCATGTTCACAGCTCTGCTGGTGACAGTAAAGTTTTCATAAAATGTCGTGTTTATTTTTTTTTTATTTTTTTTAAGTTTTTAGTGAGCCTTTTTAGTGAGGCAGTTAAAGCCTCTGTCTGCTCAGCA